GCTGTGAATGATGACTGTGGAGCATCTCTGGGAGTTTTTGGCTCATCATACAAAAACAGAAAAGAGAAGGAGGAAAAGTGAGCAGGAAGGAGTCAGTAAATGCTTTGGGAATGGAGGAGGGAGAAGACACAAGCTTTCCATGTACAAGTCTTAGGCTAGGCTCATCTAGTCATTCACTTTCAATTGTTGTTTTTCTTTGGCTTACTGCATTTCACTGGAGACATATTTTCACTTAGCAAACAATTGCAGCAGTTTTATGGAGCTCTTGCAAGCACGTATCTGCTGCTGCTTCAAGCTGCAAAACAGAGCGGATGGAAGGGAATGTAAAAAGAAGTCTCAGTTACTCTGTAATGTCTGTTGGTTTAACTGAGCTGCTGCAGGAGATTTGTTTCAAGCTAAACTACCAATTGTGACACTAAAAGATCTGAGGGACACAAACACATGGATCCATGCAAGCCAGCTGTGCAAAGGACAGCATGGGCAGTAACTTCTTAAACTGCTATAGGTAGATTTACTAAGTCACATGTGTCAGCACTATAGTTTTCCTTTAGGCTAATTGCTAAGTCCACAGACAACCCCCAGTACCACTGCTAACGTCATACTTTGAGCATGCTTTGAGCACGTTACGAGTGTTCTCACCTATCTAGTGTCCTCTCTCATCCAAACTTGCACTTTAAAGGTATATAAGAAATGTTTCCTTTCTCCCCCCTGGAAATACCTTTTCCTGGGGCCTCCCTCCTACAGGCTTTTAAATCCTCCTGCATTTCATAGCTTGCTCTTTCATGCTGCCATTCCTGAACTGAAAAGAAGATGAATTTTCTCTCTGCCTTGAATTCTTTCTTAAAGTGTAATTCTCCGTGAAACCTTTTCAACAAATGTCCCCAGCTTCCACATGCCACTTATTTGACATAGCTCTGGGGGTGCTGCCTTGGGCAGCTGCCAGGCTGCTGCCAGGAGGGCCAGTACTGCTCCCACCACCCAGCCCCACTCTCCTGCCGTTTCCCACAGTGGCCATCAAGCTAGTGTGCTGGTCACACAGAAAACCGACCAGGAGGAAGAACCCATCCAGGTTTCTGACCAACTTGCCCTGTGATTGCTGGCTACAGCTGCAAGGGATCTGCAGCAGGGGTCTGAATCAGAGTAGCGTCGCTTCCCTAGACTAAATTACCCTTTGCGAATACCTGTCCTATCCCGTTTCTGTGCCTCATACACAAAATATGCATGCAGCACTGCGAATAAGGTATTTTAAAATTTCTGTATGTTTTAGTAGCCCAAATCTCATTTTCAAATGCAAATTAAGCACTTTGGCAATGGTTTTATTAAAATCAGTGCAATTTAGATGGACCTGTGTGAGAATAGAGTTTAGACACCGAAGGTGCTTTGCCCTTCTGAAAGTATTATCCCTGAACTATACCAAGTGCATTTTGCTTTCCAGGGATTGATCCCCAAGTGCAGAGCTGCATCTCAGCCTGTCTGAAATACAAGCCATCAGTGCAAACATGTCATCACTTGTAATCCCTCATGAAGGTTGCAAACTGGATACACTGAAGTTCCAAGGTCAACACCTTTAGGAGCAAAACACAGTTTGCTGCATAATCTTTATACATAAGCCACAGGATATTTTGCTCCTTACTTGCCAATTCAGCCTGTTTTAAAAGGGAATCCAACAATTTTAATATTCTGCTTTGGAGCTGACTGCTAAACTGGTTCCATCATAATAAAATACATCTGCATAAATAACATGTATTTATCGAGTTTCTACAGGGACTTCCAGTATTTCACCTATCACTTTGATGGAGAAGTTAGGGGCAGAATACTAGTACTGTATTCCATGTGAAAATTTTACAAAAGTGTCAAACATATCTGTAAAAGTTCAAAATGGTAAGCCTGCAAACAAACCAATATTGTTTTTCTTTGAATGGCTGTTTAGCTCTAAGTTGGCTCCCATCACAGAAGCCTTTTTTGGAAAGTACTTGAGGATTTTATGAGTCTTTGTGTTTTTATTAAAATATATCTTTGCAAAAAATGTGCTGGTTGGAAGTGCAGACTTTATTTGTTGGTCAGTGTCAAACTTCATTTTATCATATCCCTAATAATGGTGCATATTGAGTAAAGTGCTATTTTAAAATGTTGAATGTGTGGGTGCTTGCTTATAACTAATCAGAAGACTGAACAGCATCTCAGGTGGTTGTCTTTGCTCGTGAGCAAAATGCTCCACACAAAGCAAGCAGGTGAAAACAAATACAGGGTGTTCTGAAGGAAGGTTGGACCAGATGAATTGATGGTGGGCAGGTAATTGGCTTCTTTGAAGAGTTATTCCTAAATAACTTTACTGCTAAAAAAGCAAATGCTAAATGAGCATTTTTCCTTCCGTGTTCAGGGGTTGAAAAATACACCCATCACTCATTATCCGAAAGTCTGAGTCAGCTAGACAGCGTGAAAAAATATCTGGCACTCAAAGCTCACATTTAGCCTCAAAGCTGTGTCCTGCCACTCAACAGGAACAAAACAGTCGTGCACTGTTTGTGACCTTCCTTTAGTTGTAACACGGTGTCAACTGAATGGTCTGTAATCCTTTCCAAATTATAACATATATCTTTCATGCTTTAATTTTGCCTCATTCACTTCCTGACTTGACTTTTTTCTTCTTTTATTCCTGACAAAAGAGGACACTATCTCTCACCATTATATTCAGTATTTCACCTGAAATTTGTGATGTTCGTGACCTTTTCTTCACTTTGCTTGCTTTCTTGACACTGCTTCTATGCCTTTACCCCTCCAATTTTTACTCTTATGTTGCTTTTCTGGGTTTTTCTCTCCAAAATCCCCTTTTCTTTCGATACCATGTTTTCTGTTTCTAACGTTTCATTTCAGTTCTCTACTTTCTACCTACCAAACAGACGGTTAGAAAGAAGGGAATGCCTGTGATGTCCCAGGGCTTGTGATGGTCCCAAGACCTTGCAACATAAATTTAAATTGCAAGTCCTCAGGTCCTCTCTAGCTGTGGAATCTGAAATGTAGTGGTGTGAGAAGCTGATCTTTCTACTCCTTCTTTTAGTTTTGTGGTTACTCAAAAAAAAAAAATAGTTTCTTTTTCACAGGTTTCTGTTTTGAATCCTCTTCTCCAGCAGCTTGTTCCAGTTGTCATTCATAGATTCCAAGCTGTGAGAGGAGACTATTGACTTGATAATTTTCACTGTTACATTGACAACTCGAGCTTAAGTTTTCTGTCCATGGAGACTTTGAGAAGTCACTGAGCAGTGGAAGAGTAACTACAATGAGAAACTTGCAGATTCAGGAGGGTGTCCCTTCATTAGCTTACACTCACTTCATGTTTGAATCATTAAGTTCATAGGCATTTGGATGGACAGTTCCTTTCAGCTCTAAGCAAAAAAACCTCAATTTCTGTGAATTTGATAATCTGCTGAAGAAGTATCCAGCTTTTTTTTTTTAGCCAAGTTGATTTTCAAAGCCTGGCAACATATGTTCACACTTGTAGTTTCAGCTGTGTCTGTACATCTAAAACATTTTGTCTGCCTGAGGAGGAAATTCACTGCATAGTGGTTAAATGTGAGCAAATGTAGTATTGTCTTTCCTGTGCTGGTTGTCTCTCCCTAGAACAAACTACCTATGTGTAGAATACAAAAGAGTATGTATTACGGTAAGACTAAGTGTATGTTGTACAAGTGCAAAAGACCACACCTTGTTCTTCAAGGCGTTTAAAAAGTTTCTGAGGTATTTTTCATAGACTTATGTTTTTAAAAATCTAGAATCCACAGCCATCATGTGAGGCCAAATAGACTTCTTTAGTTTTTTTTCTTATCTGAGGTTGTTGACCTCAGGAGAGGAGGAGAAGGTTACAGGGTCAAAGTCTTTTCCTCCTTGCAGCTTGCTGCTTGCTGGGAGAGGGTTGGCTGGAAAATAGATGTTTTAGAAAAAGGGTTGAGGGTCATGATTTTAATTCTGTTAGGGAACAGCTGGTTTGAGTTTCTTTCCACTTCTATCTTCCCTCCTTTTCTCACAAATCCATGGAGAGAGAAAAATTTGTTCAGAGGAAAGCAGTAACACAAAAATAAAGGATTGAAATATTTTCATGTTTAAAATAGATCATGTTTGTTATAGGACTTCACATTAAGAGGGAGAAGCGGAAATTATTAAAATAATTTAAATCCATTATTGTTTCATGCACTGAATTGAGATTTATCTAGAGTGCCAGAGGTTTATTTGTTTTCCTGCCAGAAGTTAAATTGTTAATAGTAATGTTCTAGTGGTTTTTTTTAGTGGATAAACAATATACATTGCGACTTTTAATTTAGTGATGGATAAAGCTAATTATGAATGTGCCGTGTTAGTTTGTGTACAAGTTGCTGAAGAAAGATGGTTTGATTTGGCTATTTCTGTTCAGATTTTCTTCATCTTTGCATGCTGCTTTCATGCACTAAGACCAAAGAGAGAGAAGGAAACTCACAACTCTCAAATGAATGGCAAACTAAGAACAGATTTTTTGTCTGTGCTCCTCTGAAACACTGGCCTCGGGCTGTGTTGGTGTGTGGCTCAACAGCAATCAGAGGTCATAATTTCATTGGCGGTTAGCATCAGGTTTAATTTTTCTAATATGTTACATTTACCAAAATGTCTGGTTTCAGTTACACTTATGCACTGACTGAATCAGCTTTGAGCAGCATGATGTTTTAAGGTACCTGAAAGGCTACAAGAACATTTATGGAACACATATGCTAATTGTTTTTAACCACTTTCCTTTCTAAACACAAAAATGTGGTTTTGGAAAGCTTTTTAACAGCAGTAGCTAATGATCTTGTGCATTTATTCTAAGAAATGAGCACAAGGAATAGGTAAAATAGTTGTTTTAACAAGACTGCCATCTACTGATTTCCACAATTAAAAGTATCCCTGATGAATAGATTGTTCATAGTTTTGTATACCTTTATTTTTGAGATTTGCAAGATCAAGAAAATTATAAAATCTTTCTGTCACTTTAGGAATGTGACCAGGTTCACATTGACGATGTGTCTTCAGACGACAACGGTCAAGATTTAAGGTATGAGAGAACTGAACAAGCAGCAAAGTGAATAGCTGGTGACTGAATGTAGCCTGTTGCCTTTTGTTAACCTGGGGCTTTTCTTATCTCTGACTAGCACCTATAACTTTGGAACAGACGGCTTTCCTGCGGCTGCCACTAGTGCGAATCTGTGCCTCGCGACAGGGGTGCGCGGAGGAGTGGACTGGATGCGAAAATTGGCTTTCCGCTACAGACGAGTAAAAGAAATATATAATACCTACAAAAATAATGTTGGAGGCAAGTGACTCTGGAGTATCGAAGAAATATAGATTAGAAGTAGCAAAAAGGAAGAGCTTTTGGTTTCTGTTCCTTTTTTGACATGGTAATGTTTAGTGAGCTGTTTAGCAGTGTGTGGAATATTGTCTTTGGAGCTAATGAAAGCAAAGGAAGGTGACAGAACGTTACTTAATTTCAGTGTAGACATGCCCTTATCTACTCCACAGGTCTTCTTGGTCCAGCAAAAAGAGAGGCTTGGTTACAGCTAAGAGCAGAAATTGAAGCTTTGACAGATTCTTGGTTAACACTTGCACTGAAAGCACTCACCCTTATTCATTCGAGGTGAGTACGAAGAGTATGGGGTAGTTAGGAAACTTTAGGATGTCTGCTTTTGACCTAGAAGAGGCTGCCTGGTCTGGTGGGCAAAACACAGAACCTGAAGGACCTTCTTCTCATTCCTTGTTCTGGTTTGACCATGGCGCTCTATACCTTGCACTCCTGTAAAGTAGAAAAAACCCCTTTCTTTGTAAGTGGCAATAGTAATGGTGAGGGGTTCCAATGGGAGGGATAATGTTTTCCTTGTTCTGTTTTGTTCTGTTAAAAAAAAAGGATGTTTGCATTTTCTCTTCCATAGGACAAATTGTGTGAACATTCTCGTAACAACTACTCAGCTAATTCCAGCTCTGGCAAAAGTCTTGTTGTATGGACTAGGGGTTGTATTTCCCATAGAGAATATTTACAGTGCAACTAAAATAGGTGAGCTATTTTTATACTGTTGTGATACATTTTAAACTGTAATTCTAAATAAAATCTATTATAGTCTATATTTATTTCTTACCTACATTCACTGTAGCAAATATAGAGATTAGTAATACCTGATCTCATAAAACACTTTTCATGATGAAACATCCTAAAAGTGTTTTTCAGATGTTTCTCGTGGTCCAGCACAGAAAGCTTCATATAGCTCTTTTAAGGGTGATGCTGCCACTGTTATGAAGAAATATAATTGCTTTTTTGACATAATTTGTGAAAAATGTGAGGCTATCTCTCAGTTGAGAAGGCTTTTTAGTAGGCTGTGGGTGCAGAATGTGAAGTCTCCCCAGATTAGCAGAAGAAATTGTGTAAAGGTAAGCACTGGCTCTGTTTGTTTTCATGAGCTCTGGAGCAAATTTTGGTAAACAATTTAGCAGAATCAAGAATGTTTTGCTGCTGAATGTAATTATTTAAGTTCATTCATACTGGCTATAATAAGCTTCAGCCGGGCAAATGTTTATTTCTGTTTTCTGGTTCAATATAAAATATGTTATTTTGAGTATGTGGAAGTTCGTAGTACCAGATGGCAACGGTGCTTGTAGTTTTTAACGTGATTATGGCATATCTGTTCTGTCTCAGATTCCCTCAAAATTGTGGGCTACATGAAAACATTTTTCATGTGTTCTTAAGTATCTGTAATAAAGGAAATGGCTGAGAAAAAATGGTGGGTTATTTTTGTTTGCTTTTGGTTTTTTTAAAAAAACTTGGTTGAGAATTTTATGTAGGAGTTTGAAAGCATTACCACAAAAGATTTAAAGCTGTTTCCTGGACAGAATGTTACAGTACTGTCTGTTGAAACTTTGAAGTAAATTAAAACTTTGAATTATAATACTTTAAATGCACATTTTAATTAAAACATATTTTAATAAATATTCACTTATGACTCCAAGTACACAGGACAGAAGGGTATTTTTTGGAAAACTGTGTTCAGTCGCTGACTGTCACAGGAAATAATGAGATATTTTGTGACATAACACAATTCATAATTTTCAAGCACCATTTTAACCTAGTTAGTGTTGGAGGTTTCTTATGCCTGGCAGAGTACCACTGAGTAGTTTGGTTTCTCTGCTGGCTAGAAACCTTTTTAGTTACCAGCCTATTTGTTCTTATGCCGTTATTGTTCTGTAGCTGAAATAACTATTTTGAAAAAGACGATATTTTCCCATCGGTTGCTGGAGACACACAGGTAAGCATGTACCGTGGCCAAACTGAAGTGATCTTTCAGAGTGGGAACATTTGAGAAAACTCGACTGTAAGCTTTTACTTTCGTTCTGGCTTCCCAGTATCAGTACCTAGGTGTAGGATAGGAGTGCTGGGATGATTTCTCTAGGTCTGTGCAGCGAAGTAATGAGCCACATCAGTGGATCTCAGTGCAAGGACCTTGCCCATGTATTGGATTACAGGCATTTAAATCTAAATCTTTTGGGTGACCTCCTAAGTCAGGATACTACTGTTTCAGGAGCTGTGATTAGTCTTGTCACAGGTTGTGGAGAAAAAGCTAGAATTTCAACTCAGATTCAATCAATTTGCTCAGTTCAGGATACCAGCCGTAAACAGCCGGTAGAGAATTCTCCTGGTAGGGAAATTCCTCCTGAAACCTGTCTCAGATTAGGGAAGGAGACAAGAAAGATGATATTGCAGACCTCTAGTCCACTATGTCTACCGTGGCGTGTGTACTAAAGGACCTCACGGAGCAGATTATAAGGTCGCCTGTCAGGGACTGTGGCGGGAGTAAAGCTGCAATTGGCCTTGATACACCATCCTGCAGGCGAGGCTCTTCCCTCCTGAGAGTTCTAATTATGTATTCAAAGTGTTGGGAAGATCCAGGCTAAAAAGCGATTTATTTGATGTCATCCCATTGACACTTATTCTGAATAGTCTGATCTTTTTCTTTCAGGAAAGGAAAGTTGTTTTGAGCGAATAATTCAAAGATTTGGAAGAAAAGTAGTGTATGTTGTTATAGGGGATGGTGTCGAAGAAGAACAAGGTGCAAAAAAGGTAATGGCCCTTTTTCAGTGTGGGTTGATTTCAAGAGTCTGAAAGCATTGTCATTTCTTCAACATGGGACAGCGTGCATTGACATTTGTGTTCTGTATCTTTGCTTTATGAAATATGTTTTGACCATATCTAGTAGAAAGCTGCATAAAATTGTAGATAATAATGTGCCCTGCTGTTCTCCAAAAGACTCACTAAGATAGCTATGTATGTTTGATATATTTCAAAAAGGAGCCAGAAAATGGACCCCAGCTTTTGTGACAAGAACTAATAGTTCTGTTTTCATTGGCATCCCAAAATACCACACAGGATGTTATGAATATAAGCAAAAAATGGCAATTCTTGCTGATCAAAGGCAGTGCGCTGTTTGACTATATAAAATATGTATATGTTACACCTTGAAAAGGGATGTAGGACTAGAGTAAGTATACATAAAATTCAGCTTTCTTGTGCATCCAAAACTTGGATTCTGCATTCAGGTAACTGCTTGTTGCTTGTCCTACATTCATAACCTCAGTTAACTGAGAAGAGGATGCTATTTGACTATGTCTGTATTATTTTTTTGCTTTCCCCTGGGAAGAAGGGAAAAATTCACTTTTTTTTTTTTCCTCGGTGTGGAATAAGCTCCATAAAAAGCAGTATTTCCCACTGGCAAATAATAGGCAGTATTCCTAGCCTTGCTGTTCTACCCAAGTACAGCAGATACAGAGTCTTTGCTTGAACGAATGAGGCATAATATCATAGAATCATAGAATCATTAAGGTTGGAAAAGACCTCAAGGATCATCAAGTCCAACCATCAACCCAACACCACCTAACTCACTGAACTATGTCCCTAAGCACCACATCTACACATTTCTTGAACAATAGGAGAAAGAGTAGGAAAATGGGCATTTCTGTTCTTGCTTCCTTTTATGGGTAAATTGCTTTCACACAGCTGCTTTTTTTAACACAAAACGCTCTGTGGTAATTCTGTATCTTTTTTAGCTGTAACTTTCTAAATTGGAGAAGTGAAACTAATTAGTCCGCATGGCATTTTAACAACCATTGACGGGTTTTGCTTCATGAAATTGGGGTTTTGTGCTCCCAGAGCTTTGTGGGTAGGTTCCCGGCTCATCCTGGCACTTTGCAGAGTCTCAGTTTCATATATCCCTTTGGCGGACTGACGGGAACAGTTCACTCCTTTCTCCCTCAGAAATGCCTTTCATCTTTGTGGAGAAATGTTTTCCTGCTGTAAATGATTACATTTTAAAAGCTGCATTTAAGATCGAGGGGGAAAAAAGTCTTCTCTTTGTTCCTTTTCTGTTGCTCAGTGAAATAGTGTTGTATATGATAATGGCAGGAGTAGTCCTGTCAGTAACATTATCTAATTCAATGCTTTTTTCAACAGGAAACATGATTCAGTAAAGCATAAGAAAAAACCTTTCCAGTCGCTAAGAGGAGTAGCAGTATAGAAAGTTCCTTTGTGGCATTACTTCTGTGTACTCTTTCTCGGTGGAAGGAATTTTCAGATTCAAAGCGTGTTAGATGCTCTGGATTAAAGTATCTCCTGCAGCAATGCCAGAGGAGTCAATAAGTAGACCAGCAGCCCTGCCTTTCTGCAAAAACTATTAATTTCATTAAGGAAAATGCTTCTTGTCCTGCTTGTTACTCCACCGAAAAAGAAGTCATCATTTCACACTGTGAAAGCAGGATTTGCCTCTTAAGTTTTGGACCTCGCATCCTGCAAGAGCAATTACCACACAGTGCCTTGTGGTACAAGGAACTGCTCCCAACTCAGATGATGCCTGTTTGGTTATCTGCTCCTCAGGCTGTTTTTAGGGTTATTAGGAGGAGTGAGCACTGGAATGCATCCTAGTGTATACTGTGCTTCAGTTTAAAAACATATGCCCTGTCTAAGGAACAAATTGTTTTGCTGTATTAGGAAACAGTAAAAGCCTAAACCTTCTCTGGAGAGTGTGCAGTCGTAACAGGTGAAGATTTACCCCCACAAATAACAGCTAAAGCCCATCAATTTAAGTGGCATAACTGGCCCATGATGTACCCCATTGCCTTGCTTGTCGCCTGAACCTTCTTAGCTGGTTCCTTCCTTCTCATCGGCGTGTTGGTTTTTGTTATATTCTCAGGGCGGGGACAGCTTTTGTGTTATCCCTTTGCACAGCACTTTTCAGAAGGGGTTTGGCATGTGGTGAAGCCCTTAGTATATGTACATTTCTTTATGCTACTTAGAGCATAAACAGTACTCCCTTCTTTAAATAGCACTTCACTGATTACATGTAAACTATAATGAGTATTTTTAAGTGAGCATATAAGTTCTAACCTTTTGATTTGGGAGATTTCTGTTCCATGTTCGTTTAGTGAAAAGAGCTGAACTTCCAGCTTAGAAATTAGAAAGTTAAAGTTTGTTATTAAAAATAATTTGCCAATAATTTATCAATTGTTTCATCATAAAACAAGATTTTCATTTATGTCCTTCATTCATGGAAAATCCTGAAGTCAATACAATAGGAGAAATAAAAGTCACATTTAAAATCTTTCTATTATTGTCATTACTGTAAAAATTCAATAACAGCAACTTTTTAATGTAATTTAAAAGGTCATTTCTCTTTTGAGAAGCATTTTAGGATAGACTGTTTTTTCATAAATTGCCTCTTTTGATTGATGAAAATAAATACAATACACTGAGGACACAGCACGCTCTTACATTTCACGTAGCACGGGACAAGTCATGATATCAACACCTTTGGTTAGCTGTCACGTCCAGCAAAATATTTTATAAGACAATTAAAATTCTCGGGATGTTTGCGTTGCAGACTGAGGAATAATGATACCCTTCTGGATCAGTTCAGCACACAGCCAGGGTGGTTGTAACACCAGGGTTCACATGGAGGTTGCTACCTTTGGATTAGCTTCCCCAGGAAAAGTGGGAGAGGAGGGGAGAGAGAAACGGGTGTGAGAGCCAAGGGGAGCTCAGCCCGCCCCGGGTGTGGGTCAGAGCCGCCACATCCGAGTGCCACTGTGGTGACACAGCTATTCACAGAATAAGTTTCTGGGGTTTTCTGCCAGAGACTCCATTGTCTTGGCATTTTGTTTTGCTTGGCTTTGTTTTGTTTTGTGGGTTTTTTTCTTGTTTTCAGCTGTGTTGTGTTGTGTTTTGTTTTGTTTGAGCTCATCTTTTGCTTTTGCCTTTGGAGACACAGTCAGGAAATACTTGTCAGGCAGGAAAAAAAAAAAAAACAACACCAAACTTCTGAGTTTTTCTACTTAGGAGAATCCTCCAAAGGGTTTCTAATTTGCGAGAGGAGACAAAGGAGGAGGCTCTTTGCACTGAGGAGCTGGATTTTACATCAGGTGATTTGGGAGAGCCTGGGCAAATTGGCTTCTCCCTTTGTCTCCAAAATGGTCATGCCGCCTCGCAGGGAAATTGGAAGGAAAAATCATAAATCTTTGTGGAGCAATAAATAGAATATAAATGGGTATCCAATATGCCACTGCTTTTAAACTCACAGTCACACTGTGCTGGTCAGGTTTGGGGTAGGAAGTAGAGACGGCTGCTCAGCAAATCTGGCAGGAAAACAACAAAAATATTGTGAAAGATGACAGAAACTGATGAGTTTTCTATTCAAATCCATCACAAATCTCAGGAGTAAGGTTTTTGTATAAACATGTATTCATTTAAGGAAGGGACAATAGTCTGCACTTTTTGGTGTTGCCATCAAAAAATAGCTTTGGTTTGCACGTGCATTAATAGAAACACTTTATTTTGTTGAATAAAATAGTTAAGTTTTGTTCTTCTAGTAAATAGATGCTGAAAAATAGTAATGCTTCTATTTCAGAAATAAAATACCTTAATATTTTAGGTTTTTAATAATATTAAATTTATTAGATTTACTGAATTAATAATTTTGCTTTTAATGCTTTTTGCACCAAAAGCAAATTCAGACTTTTACTACCGTATTTCATTTCAGAATGTTATCAAAATTAAACCATTTTAAAGTTCATGGATGTTATTTATTACCAGGTATCATCTACAAAGCAATTAATGTTTTTTTAAAAGACAAAAGCTTTATGTATACTTGGAAGATATTGAAATAGTACACAAAATCATTGTGTTACTACCAGCTACCAGTCTAGATGCATATTCCTCCAATATGCAATAAAAAAAGTTTTCTTATAGTTTCATTAGATACTAATGCATCCAGTTTTGCAGCCTACACATGGTAGTTACCATTTAGCATCCATTCTCCCACTGCAGCAAATGAGATTAGCATTTTTCAGTTGTACTTCATGTGTGCTCAGTGTTGGCAGGGATGGCTTTCTAAAAGCAATATTTAGTAGATATATATACAAAAAAACTCTTGCCCAGTCATTCAGTAAGAAGAAACGTACTTCTGTCTCATGGGTGCATTGCCACTTTAGGCAGGGTTGAATAGTTGTGAACAAATGGAGTATGTTAATACTGGAATAATGTATAAGGTTTTGTATTATAATTTTGTTACTTTAGATGTTTTAGTTTTGTACAGTCATTTGTTAGATAAGGTGAAAATCACAGTATATGCCCCATGAACACACATGTGTATGTATGGACACATATAGGTGTGCGAGTGTATATACATACACAAACATATATATAGATTGTTATCAGCTTTGTTTCCCCTCCTCTTAGCTATGAAGGCTGTGCCGTAGGGTCAGACTGATAGAGATCTGAATCGGCTGTGTTTGGCTGTGCAGAGAGCGACGGTGCAGATTCCAGCCCCGTGCAGCTGCCATGTTCCTGGTGTGCTTTATTTCTTGGGAGTGTGCTGCTGGTCTTTTGACCAGCAGCAGGAGAACTGAAAATAATTATGATCCTGAGGTTTACACAACCTCTTTGTTTTCATGGGACTCTCCAGAATCATTCTGCACCTCACTTCTGTAACTCTATGGAGTAAACAGAACTATACTCCTTTCACAGACAGACATCAGTAAAGCAGAGGACACTTCAGTGGGTTTGAAATAGAAAGGTATAGCCAAAATAATGACCACTTAAAGTTTTGGTTTAAAATCTGACCATAAACAGCTGAGGGTAATCCAAAACTCGATATTGCATATGGGCATCTAGCAAGAATCACTGTGATTTGATTTAGCAGAAGCTAAACCTTCTGTTAAATCAATCAGGATCTTTAACTGCCCTAGCTGCCTGGTGTGTGTATGCTCTGTGGTGCTGAGGCTGTTACTAGGGAAGCAATATAATGCTGGAGCCACATGAAGTGGGAGCTGGAAGCCAAGAATTTATTACTACAATTCTCCCTATTCATTAGTTTGCTGTATGACTTTGGAGGGTGTCCATGACATTGACTCTTGGCTTCTGCAGAGACACTATGCAAAGACAGGTGTCCTGCAAACTCTTCGCCACGCCATCCTATGTATGCTATTTATACCTCCCTGATGCGGTGGTTGAGGCAGAGCTGGTGCCAAGCTAAGAGAAGCCAGGAGCTCTGGCTGGCTGGCAGGGAGAGCAGGCAGGTCCTACCTGGCAGGGGGCTTGTGAGAGAAGAAGGAAACATCAGCCGTGCAAGAAAGGGCGGCAGCACTGCTGAGCACTGCCAGCCAAGTGCAGTCAGCTGGCAAACACTACACGGACCTGCTGCAAGCACAAACCTGTGCCCATTTGTCCTTGGTGTAGTATCGCTATCAGATGTTATAAATTCTGCCAGGAAGATCTCACAGCCTAAATTAGAGATGCACAGAAGCTTTTGGAGAGTCCAGAGAACATCATGATTAGGAATTTATTTTATTTTTCTCTTGCTGGTTCATTTCCCGAACACAGTGCAAGAAATGAATATTTAGGAAAGATCTGAGTGGGAAAGCAGGAGTGTCTGACCTGACAAAGTGCAGAGGATAGACTATCTGTATAATGTAACAGGGAAGGCACTGGGACATGCAGCTGTAAGTTGGTGAGCTAATGTCGTCTGCTTTCTGTTGCTGGTGGACCGTAGAGACAGTACAATGGAAGTCTAGATTGAAGATGTAGAAATAGTAGGTGTCATAGTCAGTGTTTAACATTTCCTCCTTAAGGAAAGGTTTGATCTGTAAAAGTGTTTCGGAAATATCATAAGCTTTTTTTCCAACAACATCTCAAATGTCTCTGAATTATTTTGTTTGTTTGTTTTGTTCTCTCCATAAGCAGCTATCCTCATGCATTTATCTTCAAGCTGAGGTTTAGTCAGCTGTTCCTCAAGGCTTTGTAACCATCTAGAGTAAAGTGAAGCAGAACACAAACTCTTCCAATGGTGTTTCCTTGTGGGTTATTTGATTTTCTTCACGAAGAAATTTTTTTGTTCTAAAAGCTAGGCATACTCTGAATGTGGGCATCTGTTGGTGCATCCATATTACATTTTAATGCAGGTCAGGAGTGTCATATCAAAGCAGACCTTCCAGTCATTCCCCCTCACTGTGCTTTGATTAACATCCTGGAATTGTTTTAGGGGAACAAAAAAAACCCACAAAACAGACTTTTTTGGGGTAGAACTAAAGAACAATGTTTTGTCCAGGTGCTCACCAAATGCTCTCCAACTGCTAATGGGCACTTTTTCCATGATGGCAGACTAGAGCTGTTCTGAACTGAAAACCCCGAAACCTGGGCACTGGATGCTCAGTGCCACCTCCTTCACCCTGCAGTCCCTCAGATTGTGCAGCTCTGCTTGATAACACTTGTCCTTTACCAGGTGTGCGTTTTCCGGATTCCTTACAGTACTCCCTTGCTGATCATATATGACTCTTTAGTCTTGCTCATTAATATAAATTAATTCAGTATTATCTTCTCTGACTCTCACAAGAGGAATAGTTGATTGTTCCTTAACAATTGCCATTTGACTTCAGAGAGACTTGCTGTTACTTACATGGTTATGTTTATTTTTAAAGTCTCTGCTTTGTTCTATAAATTCAACCAAATTCATCATCACATCATTATCTGTATTGAAACAGAATTCTTCTAAAAATAATAATTATTTATACATGGAGACACTGATGCCTACCTGAGCTTCTAAAGACAAATTTATGATAGGCTCTGTGCTAAGGTGTTTGTCTTCTGAGACAGGTATAAGGTCAAATTATGGGGCTTAGAGTAAGCATGCAGCTGGAAACAGAGTTTCACATTGTTTTCAAAATTATTCTTTAATTTAAAATTTGAGAAGACCTGAATGAAAACAGGAGGTCAGCAGTGATAATCAGAAGAGATGGAGTTTTGCCACTGATTTCAGTAGAATTAGGGATTTACTCAGGAAGTGCTGAAGGAGGATGAAGAAAGCCTCTCTGAGAAGTTGTAGATAAGATGCTTGGGGAACTCAGAAGCTATTGTGATAACAAATTGCTTTTGGTTTGTCTCCTAAAGATGCCAGGACACAAGCTGACCCAATAAAAAGGTGAACATGACCATGTTAGCCTTCAAAACGTTGTTGAACTGAAACTATTTTCCCATGGGATTTACAGAATATTTTCCTGATGAAAGCTGATGGTTATCTTTTTTTTATTTATGTAAAAGTTCTTGCTGACTCTATAATCCCTCGTTTAGAGTATAAAGATAATTCTTAATCAGATTTTTACCCTTCATGGATGAGATAATGTGTAGTTTTTCTGGTAATTGTGTTTTTGGTTTATTCAGGTTCTTTGCAACTGTATTTGTGCTCCAGACAGATTTTATTACAGCTAATAGGAAAAAAAAGTGTATTTATTTTAAAATTGTCCCATATGGAAAAGATATTTTAAGATCAGTGCTAACAACGAGTGATGTTATACAAACCACTGGGGTAAATTTCCTTTCAAAGTGATGTGAGCAACACATGAGCTATTCTGAATCACCATGGCTATATTCTTAACTTACCTGCCAGGTGAGTTCCACAAGGAACAAATACATTTTGGGAGTAAATAGTACTTTTGCTTCCTTTATTTTTTGGTTTTTAATCAAGTTCTGTTCCCTTCCTCAAACTACCCATGTGCTTCATGTATAGGTTATTTTTCTTTTTAATTTTTTTGAGAAATAATATTTTTCTTCTGCAGCATGCTGAAACCAGTTTTTCTTATAAAGACATGAAAACCCCCTCCCTTACTTATGATCGTCTGACATGTTTGCTGTTGTTCCAGTTGGTAAATAGATTTGCTATTATTGAGAATTTGTGTTGAGGGAGTGGGACAGAGAAGCCAGAGATAGATATGAAGAGCTCTTTTTCTCTCCTTGCAGTGTTCCCTTATCCTTGCAAAAGACAATGGGTGGGTCTAAATACCAGAATGCTTGGGGTTATTTTTATATGTTGTCTGTGCTGTTCACAGCATGCTATGCCATTTTGGAGGATCTCGAGCCACTCTGACCTTATGGCCCTTCACCATGCCTTGGAACTGGAGTACTTGTAGCAGCTCAGCAGCACTTTGAAACCCCAGAGCCTCCTTCTGCCCATGGACGGGATGCCTGTGTCTCGTGTCAGCATTGGACTACAGAACTTTGTGATTTCAACATGTTGACATACAGCTGCAATTGGTCTTAACCCTTGCCCTTTCAGTAAATGGAGGAGCATGTCTTTTTCTTCAGAACAGCTGTTGACTCTGGGTACTGTGAGTCCAATGAAAATAAGCCATGCAAATGTTTGAACAACCCATCCTTACCGTATTTGCTACCAAAAAGAAACAGAGAAGGAAAAAGAAAAGGTTCATACCTGTGAAGAAAAAAAAAAAGGACCTTCAAATGCTTTGTAGTTTTTAGACTCTTCAATGTGACACACACCATTTCTTCAACACAGCAAACTTGATTGCACAATGAAGACTGAGATTTTTCAAAATACCAGTGGAGTAATTTTCTTGTAAAGAAGGTTTACTTTTTGGTTTCTCATACCCAGGGTACTCTGTACATCTTTACTTATTTATGAAGAGACTATATTTTGACATCATATAACTGAGGATTATGTATAATAAGATTAAAGGCTATTATAAGCCTTTACCTTATGGTACAGCAACTGCTTTTGATTTTAGCACATTACAGAGTAGTTTAAAATATGTTTAATTTAAACTAATAGGTACATCACTGAGACAATCATGTACAGGAAGAAGTTTTTGTGTAAATTTGTAATAATGAATGATTCTTTTACATATTGTTAAGGTAAATGCTATTGAAAGATAGTAATGCCTTGTTGGTGAAGAATGAGGCCGTGTGTGCACAAACTGTTGTGCAGTGCCTTATCAATGCGTTGGATATAAATATGTAGATAATGGATTTTTTTAGATAAATTTGTCAAGACCAAAAGCATGGATGTCAAGTGTCAATAAGAATTAGGGTTTGTTCTTCTCAGCTGTTTCTCTACCTTTCTCTTCTCTCACCTACTCTGATTATGAAAAGATTAATTTCTTTTCCCCCCATGAAGGAAATATTGATAAAACACAACTGAAGAGGAGTCCTTTGCTGTCATTTCCTCTTTTAAAGTTAAAATGTTAACCCCTTTTAAAGTATTGAAAAGTGAATTAGCAGGTTCATTCCATAAAGAAATAGAGAAAGAACACAAATATATTTTAAGACATGACTTAAACTGGAATCTTGGCACCAAATAGTTTTTGTCTCATCCAAAAATGAAGGAAACTAACATCATTGTTATTTTTAGAAATTAGAAATAGGAATATTTTGGAGAAATTGAACAAGAATATTCATATACATTTAAGTTTTTTAATCCTCTTCCACCAGGAGTCAGATTTTCCCAAGATATAACATCCATTGCTGGCAATGGAAATACTGAAATAGTTATTGCCAAGGAGTTAAAATTTGCATTTGTCTTTACCCATTTACAGGACAAACCTAGACTGTGTCTGTCTGTGACTTGTGACTTTTCTAATCTTGAAGGCCATGAGCTACTTGGTCAGATAAACTGTTAGTCTGACTTTTTGGCTTGAATTGTACCAATTCCCTTTACCCAATTTAAAAATTTACATTAAAAAGAAGTCTCGGCTTTGTTGGTTTGTTCTCCAGCTTTTCTTCCTGTTTTCTTTTGCTAAAAACACCAGCCTTGAAAAAGCTACCTGCAAAGCTACAAAGCACCAATGTAGCTACACAACAACACCCTTCTCTATTGGAGGAATCATATTGCTGCTAGAATTCAATGTTTGTGGATTGCTTTATTACCAAGAGAGAGGTTTTTATTGTACCAAGAATTGCACATGTGCTTTACTTTACCCAGAATGAGTGCTGGAATTCACACAGTACTCACATACGTACATAAAGCACATTGTGGGTACTTTTTAGAATTGATACTATAATTAGCCTTTTTTCCTCAAGCAAAGTAGACAGTGATGGGGGGGTGGTTGTCTCTTTTTTTTTTTTTTTTTTTTGGTCTCTTTTCATTTTTTAGTCACTTGCGGACTGAAAAAAACAAACAGTTTATCTGGGCCTTATTGTACAAAAAGTGTGTTGTGTCCACAATTGTGTACAGAATTTTTCTTCTTTAATTTTGTTTTAAATTAATAAAATGGATTTGTGAACATATTAAACAATTGTCTTGTATGCAAGTGTATGATATTTCTGCCCTCCAGATCAGGAACGAGGAGACATCTCACATCAATTTTCTGTCACAGGGCAGAAGTTGTTCACCTGCTTGTGCCCAGCTGAGACATTAAATAGGATAAAAAATATTTGGATCGAGTTTACAAAAGGCTCAGTTAGATGGGCAGCAGTTGTTTTGCTTATCAGCAGAAGCTAGAGAAGGTCAGTGCACCAAAGAGTGAGTATGGCTGTGCTGAAAGGAAAAGCAGGATCAGCTGAGAGGAGAAAATGTGTCCATCAACCATGTATGGTTGTTTTGCAGTGGCTGGTGAAGAGCCCTCTCTGCTCCTCTGCCCATGAGTGAGAGCCTTGAAGCTAGTGGGCACCTGTGCCCACTTTCTGCTCTGGTGAGACCTGAGTTTTGTTTCTACATTGTGGTACAGCTCCAAAAGGAGAGATGGATGGTGCTGCAAGCTAAGAAAGGCATGGCTGAGTCAGATATGGGTTTGTGTCTTCTCAGAGAGAAAAGAGATTAAGTCAGTATAACATCATTTTGAAGTAATTGTCCAGTTACAACAGTAGTGACCAAAATGAGTGCATTGTGCCCATTCCCTCCATGGTGTAGAATGTCTGCCGTGTTTTCTGAGCAACTTGATCTTGCTGGTGTCTGACATGCTAGAAGCTCCTGGCAAATCGGGTCCTTAGGAGACTTAGAAGAAACGTCTACTTTCCAACTCTCTGATGGCCCTGGGAGTGACGCAGGAACAAAGACTGGGCGTATGTAAAGAGGTGAAGCAACTAAATGTGTATAACTCTTACCTTTACGAACAGCAGTATCTGATAATTTTAGGTAAGGGACAGGATGATAGTTTAGTTCTAGAGTCTGCCTAAGTCTTATTTAAGGTAACTTGAATTCTTTCCATATCTAGTCTTTAGCATCTCCCTCAGTCCCATGGAAGAGGAAAACAACCTGAATAAAAGGTTATGGGCAACAAACTAAACTGTAGTATTATCAACCTCCATGTGCCAAACGCCTTTCCTTTCTTGTATCTTCTGCACTTTTGCCTTTCCTCAAACAAATGTTTACTTGGGTTTTGCTGCAGTGTAGCTTGTTCTTTGGCAGTTCTTGTTGCAAGATCTCCAGTCCCACTACGTGTGAAGGACTCAGTTCCACTATGCCACCAAGTGCCAGAAATTGTTTTCCCTTAGGAAGTGGCTTACCCTCAGAAGGCTCAAGTGGAGTTTTCTCTGTTACAGAAAAATTTAACACATTCTTCCAAACAGTAGAACTCTGGAACAAGCACAGTGGTTGTAATTCCATAAAGTTTTGATAAACAAAGCCTCTGAGGTTTGCTGTTTATTGTGGTTGCCAGGTAGAGGTCTTTTGGAGACTGAAATCCTCTTGCCAGCTGGCCACACGTTAAAAAGCCACCTCTAAAGCTATCTCCTTCCCTCGATGCACTGAATGCAGTGCTCAGGTATACCCCTCACTGCCCATGAAAATGCCCTGCGTTCTATTGAACTCATTTTGGAGGTTTTGGTGTGTAGGCTGGTGAATGTTCACAATGTTTTAAAAACGTGCTCTTTCATCATTGCTTCTGATCTCAAATTAGTCTTAAACCAAGAACATGAAGTTGCAGGTGTTGCTTAGCTCCAAACATTTACTTCCAGAACCCTGGAAGACCTGTAGCTAAACATTATCTGACATTACCGATGGAGGCTATAGTAGCCTAAATAGCTGTGAATCAGCTCCTTTGATACATGAGTACACATACTAGTATTAAAAAATGTTGCCTCAGGTCCCTTGTTTAGTTTACAATTTTGCATCTTAAAATAATTATATGTACAGTACAATTGCTGGTATTGAGGCGAAAGAAGCCAGAAGCACTATATTATTCTGCTGTAATCGATTAGAGCATTGAGTTTACAGTAGCAAATCACACTTACAGCTTTACAAACTTTTACTTATAATGTGAAGATGGAATTGAGACTTTTGTTTATATTTCCATCCCTTTCTTTTTAATCTGAAAACCTAGCAAATGGAAGTAAAACCAAGACCAACATGGAAACTGCTTATATGTATTTGGCACCACCATGGTAGTTGTAGGCTCAGAGTTAAATTATGTCTATATGTTTTCAGCGCAGTACCAATGGCACTAGTCCACTGCAATAGGCGCCTAAATCCCCTCTGAAGTCAGTGGCTTTCTTTTCTGAGCACCTCAATGCTCAGAAAATTATTTTTTTTTAAGGAACTTCATATGAAGACCCTACTTAAATTGTAATCTTGTAAGAAAGCAGGGATTCCTGTAGAGTGAAGGGCATCATGTTATGAGGTAGGTAGCTCATAAATAAGCCTGGGATCTGCTTTTTGGAACATGTCAGTACTGCTTGAGGTTTCCAGTTCTTAGATGCTCACTGATAGCAATGCTCACCTGTAATAGCTTTAGTTCTAAGAATAAAATGCATCAACATTATTAGAGCTATCTAACTTTGAGGTAATGCCAAGACAGTAAAATTAATAATAGTAATTATTATTATTATTTATGTCTTTCATGTCCAGAAAACATGCTCAGTGAGTGGTATCTTTGCCTCAAAAATGCTTATAATGCAAGCCAATAAAATGTTGTTAGAAATTCTATTTTGCATTTTCCTTTAAATTTCTGCTTCTCTCAGTGTTGTGATTCTTGAGTTCTGCCCTGCAATGTAAGTAGAGGATGGGTGTCAAGAGGCATGTTGCTTTGTCTTGTATGCTAAGGGAGAGGCGCAGTCACCAGTCTTCCTCTGTTCTTTGTCAATGACAGGGTTGCACAGCTGCCACTTCCGTCATTCTCCTTTTAGGCAGGGACTGGCTCTCACAAAACCGTCCAGCTCTCTTGTGCTGTCAAAGGGCTAGAAGAAAAAGGGGAAAAGCAGGGGAAAAGTCATCTCCCAGGCTGAAAAAAAAAAGGGAGAGATTTGAGGGTAGCAAGACTCCAAAGAGGGTCTGTAGGTAACCAGGGAGGGTCTCTGAGCGGAGCACCCAGCACTCCCAGGTGGCCTCCCAGCAGCTGCCCAGTGCTCTGCCCAGGGATGTGATGGGACAAGAGAGTGGTGAGAGGCCCCACAGTCTCTCAGCTACCTATCCCACCAGCTTCATGGTGTGGATGGACAGCTCGACCATGGCAGGGAGGACAAGGATGTGCTGTAACTCAAGCTGGGCCTCAGATGAGGATGGTGTAAATCAAAATGAGACTGGTTACAGACTCTCTTCTGGCTCCTCCTGAACCTATTGCCCTGTCCCCGTCACTTCTGCACAGCTCCAGCATAGCCTCTCAGTGTGTGCCAGGAAGGCCACAGCAGGATGTGGAAATCTGTGGGGTATGTGCCCGTGCGTCCCTCCACAACCTGTTAACTGTGCGAGCCTCTGTGCACACACAGACACACACACGTGTGTGTTGCCAAGCTTGGTAACGACAGTGGAATTAAAATGGTGTGTC